TGCCGGAAGCTTGGCTTCCTCCATCATTGGGGCAACCAAGCCTCCTGCTTGCTCCAGCTCCGTGGCTGCTGGCCGCCATCTTGGTTGGGTTAGTTTGCATATAGTCGCTCTGATTGGCTGGTGGGTGTGGCTTAAGGCATAGCGAAGGTACAGTCAATTTGCATGTTTGTCTTTTATTAGTGTAGATGAAGTGGTGCATATGGAATATGACTAAGCCATAAAAAAGAATGAAATCTTGCCATTTCAACAACATAGATGAATCTAGAGGGTATGGTACTTAGTAAAATAAGTCAGACAAAGAAAGATGAATTTCATATGATTTCACTTGTATGTGGAATCTAAAAAAACAAAATAAACAAACAAAGATAACAGAAACAAACATAAATACAGAGAACATTTTAATGATTGATAGATGGGATGGGGATTGGGGGGAGAGGTAAAAAATAGGAAGAGATTAAGAAGTACAAATTGGTAGCTACAAAAAAGTATGGCATGTTAGGGTCACCGAAGGAGGAATGCAAGAAGCCAAAGGTGGTAAGGGATTATAAATTTATTAGGTCATCTGGATACCAGATGGGCTGAGCCCCAAAATGGTGTCTGCATTCAGGGATGGGGAGTTACGAGGTTTTAAAGGAATCTAGGCAGGCTTTTTCTGGGTAGAGAATTCTCTGGGCTGGTCCAGATCTGGTAAAGTCTGGGAAGAAATAATGGTCTTAGGAAATGGAATGTGGTCTTAGCAAGTGGAATATGGTCTAAGCAAAAGGGAGTGTCCATGATGAAGTGGTCTAAAGGCCAGTTTCCAGGGAGGGGTATTGATTCAATTATTTAATCAGACCTAACACGACATAGGGAATATAGTCAAAATTATAACTATGTATGGTGCCAGGTGGGTACTAGAAACATCAGGGGGAACACTTTGTAAAGTAAACAACTGTCTAGCCACTATGCTGTATGCCTAAAACTAATATAATATTGTGTATCAACTATAAATAAAAAATTAATAATTATTAGAAAAAGAATAGTCTACCAATCTAACTTCTGAAATGTGAAATTTCCAGGAGAATTTCCAAAGAGGGAATTTTGGGGGTTCAGAATGAGTCACCCCAAGATGTGTCTCTGTGGTATGCAGATTATTTTGACCTAAAGGCAACTTCACCTATAGGCTTATGAGAAACTTTTGCCCCCTCCCTTAAGTACCTAGAATAACTTGAGTTAGAAGCCTTGCCTATAATAAGCAATTATGAGAGATAACCTCTTTTGACCTATCTATAAAGCAGGACAAATTTCTATTTACTAAACATCTGCTCTTCTTATCCTGCAATGACCCTTTGAAGCCTCCAAGGTTTCATCCCAAGCTCAGATGGTTTTATATACCTCAATAACCCTTTCTATCTCTGAAGCTCTCCTGTATATGGGGTCTCTGACTCTCCCATGTATTCATGGTTCCCATACATATGTATGTATTACATTTGGTTATTTTTCTCTTGCTAGTCTCTTTCATGTCTATTTTATTATGAGACTAGCTAGAAAAACCTTGGGGGAGAGAGAAGTTTGTCTTCTTCCACAGTATATATCACAAGCCAGTTTCTTCTTAGATTTCACTTTCTTCATTAAAAAAGGGGTCTAAGTATAATAATCCACTTATTCTTTTATTTACACAACCAACACTTCATTGTGTGGTACCATGGTACCCATGGTGCATCAGACACTGTGCTTAAGGGTGGAATGCAAAGGCTTGAAAGGAGTATCCCATCCTTGGGAGCACATAGCCAAGCAGAACATAGATATAGAATCAGTTTTGGCTGCACACCAGAGTCACCTGGACTGGTGAGAAAAAAAAATCTTGATGCTGTTCTCAGCCTTGCCTGGGGTTTCTGAGTGAAAAAGGTCTGAGGTGTGGCTTAAAGGAAAACCCAGCCAGTAACACACATTGACCAACACTGCTCTAAAGTCATTCTCAGAAAGTTCCTTCACACCTAATTTGTTGCAGAACAATTTCATCAGTGACTGTTTGATGTACTAAGGAAACAGAGGTGGGGTGGTCTCCAATCCTGAGACAGGGTGTCCCCATTCCCACATACCTTATGGCAGCTCAAAATGAGTCAGAAGTTCCCCTGAAAGTCTGATGAGTGAGTCGGCTCCAAATCTTATCTGTTTATAACTGATAACAAGAAAGGACCTTTCCTAGATTGCGTCTGCTGCCCCACCACTTGGCCTCCAGCTGCTCCTAAGTAACTCCTTCCAGCTGGGACTCATTAATCAAGCAAACCTGGGTTCTTCTGCAGTGAAATGCAAAATTCTTTTTATAAGACCTTTAAGTAAATGAGAGCAAGTGACAGGATGCTGAAAAAGAGGTTTAGCAACTTTATCACCTCTAGGCCATCAGCCCTTTCCCTCCTTAGAGCTGACTATAGATCTTAAGCAAACAGCCAGAGGTGGGACATTCCATGGCTATTTCTAGCCTCTCAATCCTGTCTTTCTGGCAAGACATTTCCTTTCCTATTTCTATAGTTTCCATTTATAAAGTGCATATTTTCAAAGCCTTATTTGACATAAGAAATATCATGATGTCTGAGATTTGCTTTAAAAACTTAAAGCAAAAGCATGTGGGAAAATAAATCAGATAAGACTGGCAAAGGTTGATATTTATTTGTTGAACCTAGGCAGGTTTATGGGATCATTGTCCTAGCTTTTGTGTAAATTTGAAAGTCCACAATATAAATTTAATTAAAAATAACTGTGGGGGAAAGTTAGATTTTAGCTACTACGTTTAAAATGTTAATATTAGATAATTTAATATATTAATACTAAATATTAATATTTAATATTAGGATTGGATTTAGTGTCATCTTGTAAATGGAACAGTTTTTATACTTCTTATTCAAGTATATATAATCCTTTAGCTTATACCTGGTTTCATTTTAGTATATAAGCCAGTTAGGTTATATAGAAGTTTCTATTGATTTAAGGTAATAAAATATACTTACTTTTATGTATAACTAAATTATGAAATTAACAGGAAGTAACCAATTTAATGTGTGTTTGTCATGATTTCAATTACAGATGTTTCATGAAGGTGCCAGGTGTCATCCTCTGCATGTTCTGCCCACTAGGATCTGCTGGTCCCAACCTGGTCCTGGCAGCTCACAGAACCAGTGGTTGGGAGGCCTCACTGCAGCCAGGCTCACTGACTCACTATTGGTTTATTTAACAACCTCTTTAATAAACCTCACATTTAAAGGTTTAAAAATTTAAATCAGTAACAAAGATAGTATCATCCTTGAAGGAAACATGCTATTTTTAGAAAGCAGTTTTTATATTAAAATCACAGAACAATTTGCACCAAAGTTGCAGGTGTCCTCTTTAGTGCTGATAAAAGGGCTCTGAGGGTCACTATTTTAGCAATTAGAAAAACTGAGACTCAGAAAGTCTCCAAAGAGGTTCCTAAATCACTCCCTTCTTGGATTCAGATGATGGTGGGTGGCAGTTACTCCTGTGTTTCCAGGTATTTGGATGCTGAGCACCCTAAAACCTTCTTCTCATACTATCTATATATTTCATGTTTTTCAAATCTGCCACAAGGGTCTTAAACTCTAAGCCTTAGTTGCTTCATCTTTTACCTGGGGGATTAATATTAGTGCTTTCCCAGAGCAGTGCTATGTGAAATGAATAATGCATATGACTTATTTACCACTATGCTGGGCACAGAGAAAAGGCCCAGTCTGTGGAAATATTGACATATCCTCAGAAAGCAGGTGTTGAAGTGTCTCCCTTTATATTCATGCTCCCCACTTAAGACTTTTGGGATCCAAGCCTACTGGTTATGTCCCACACAGCAGCTCCCTTTTCTAGCTGGACCCCCTTCCACCTTCCAGTATAAAGAGTTAGCAATATAAAATCTCCATTTTCCTATGAAAACATATTTGTTCACATTGGGGTTTTAACTTTTTTTTTTTCCAGTGAGGGAAATATTTGTTGCCTTGGTCATCAATGTTTTACATCGGGGTTAGTTTACTCTTGCTGCTGTCAGCACTGTAAACTGTCCCAGAGAGATTTGGCCATGTCTCCACCCCCTTCCTCCAGCTGAGTCTTATTGAGGGGATAGTCTTTGAGGCTCTGCATGGCCCAGCTTCACAACAGGCTATTGCCTAACAGCTTCCACATCGGAACTCAGAGACCTCATTGTTGTTTCCTGTGGCCTAGGCAGAGGGTAAGAAATACCTGAGTCTACTGTACTTATCCATCTTGTATCCTGATGCAGTTACTCCAGGACCTTGAGTAAAGACACCTTCAAATACAAACACAGTCACACTCAACTTCCTTGGAAATTGATCTTCAATATATTGATGAGAGAAGGATACTCTCATACCAGACCTGTCAGTGAGAAAATGACTTGGAGCCACTTTACTAGGTAAGGACAGATCATCTAAATCTTAGAGTCAAGAGGGGCTATTAAAAGCCTCCAGAATAAGTTGCAACACATGAATGATTGTTCCTTCTCGTTAAGATACTGTATACTTTTTTGGTCTCAAAATCTTTCTAGTGATTACAACATAATCAAAATCTACAAGTTACAAAATGATTGCATAATATTTATTATTCATTAAATATTGTATATACCTTTATAATGTGATTGCATTATATTTTAACATATATAAATTTCTGTTTATGCTTTTTTATATTTTAAACTTCAATACTTTTCTTTAAATATTCTAGGCTTCTGCTTATGATCAGTTTAGTGTTACAGATCATCCATTTGGGAAACAGTAAGAAGCATTTTATTTACAATCTTTTAGTTTTTATTGTGTATTTGTTTCTCAATCATTATCAGCCTCATATTTTCAATGTTTTTACAAGGCTATCAAAGAGAGAAACATAAAGGTAGTAGAGAAGAAGTCAACAATGCTACAGTTCAGAAGCTCCAGCAGAAAACACTCAACTGGACTTTGAATAATTTTAGGGAGATGAATGGGAGCGTGGAGAGCTGGAGGTCTCAGGACTTGCTTCCCCATTCCAGGGCTTTTCAAGAGCGTAAGTCCCCAGGCTGTTTTAAAGCCTTTGCAATCAGCTCAGTCACTGGACTCCAAATTTAGGGTCTGAAAAACCCTGAGATATATTAAAGATAAGAAACCCAATAGAGAACATTTTATCATTTTCAAATGATGATACACTATAAAATAAATTTTTTCCTAGTGAGATGTTCTTTTACTCTGGAAAAAAAGTTTTACTATTTCATTGTAAAACGTTGCATTTGCTCTTTTGAAAAAATTTATCTTTATTGTTTAAAGTATTATAGATGTCTCCCCCC